ATAGATTTGCCTATAAGCCTCTGAAATAAAAAGCAAGTGGTCTACAGTGACTGGCTTATTTCACTTAGCATAATTTTTCATGCTGCATCTGTGCTGTAGCAGGTATTGATGCAGGGTTTTTGCTCCTTAGTTTAGCTAAATCTGGGTTCTTCTGTCATGACCAGGAAAAATTAAGCATGAAGACACATTGAAGGGTGAGGAGGACAGAATTTATTAAGTGAAAGGAAAGTGCTCAGCAAAGAGAGGGGTCCTGCAAACAGGTTTCCACCTCACAATTGAATACCAGGAGCACATGAGCTGCAGTGGTCAGGCTCCTCCCCTGTATAAGGCGGGAATTCCTGGTGACTCCTCCCCATCCCCCCAGTGCTTGTAGGCCTCCAGTCCTCTGCCGGCATGTCCAGGCAAGACAAGTCCAGGTTCCCTTATCTGCACATAACATCTGGTGTAAACACTTGTGGGACTGCTTGAAGATTCTCCGGGGACCCTTCCGTAACTGCCTAGGCATTCTGCTGTCTCCTCCTAATACAGTATCAGTACTTAATTTCTTCTTATTGCTGAGTAATACTCCACTGTATGGATACATCAAACATTTTATTTATCCATTCGCCAGGTGATGAACCTTTGGGTTCTTTCCCACCCAAACGTGATGGATGCTTTGGTTGTTTCCACTTTTTGACTCCTACTAATAATGCTGCTGTAAACATTTATGTATGAGTTTTTGTGCTTGCATATGTTTTTATTTTTCTGGAGTATATACTTATGACTGGAATTTCTGGGTCATATGGTGACTTCATGCTTAACCTTTTGAGGAGCTGCCAGTTTGTTTTCCAAAGTGGTTGCACCACTTTACATTCCCAGCAGCATTGGAAAAGGGTTTAAATTTCTTTGCATTTTTTTCCTAACACTTACTTCCTCTTTTTTATTGAACAAAGATTTCATCCTGTCGTGTGAAGTGATACCACATGTGGTTTTGATTTACATTTTCCTAATGACTAATTACATTAAGCATCTATTAATGTGCTTGTTATCCATCTTTATATCTTCTTTGCAGAAATATCTATTCAAAATCTTTGCCCATTTTTTAAATTGGGTTATCTTGTTATTTATAAATTGCAGACATTCTTTATATGTCCTATATATGTAAGTCCCTTATCAGATATATGCTTCTCAAATACTTTCTTCTACGCAGTGTCTTACCTTTTCACTTCTTGATACTGTCTTCTCAGGCACAGCAGTTTTCAATTTTGAAGTCCATTGAATCCATTTTTCCTTAGGAGTCATAGCTAAGAAAACACTGCGAAATGCAGTCACAAAGATTTATGCCAGGGTTTTCTTCTGAGGGTTTTATAGTTTTAGCTGTTACAGTTGACTGTTTTGAGTTAATTTTTAAATAAGATATTTGATCCAGCTTTATTTATTTTTTGCATATGGATACCCAGTTTTCCCAGCACCATTTGTTGAAAAGACTATTCTTTTCCCATTCTGTTCTTTTGTTAACCTTGTATAAGATCAATTGACTGTAAATGTGCGGGTTTATTTTTAGATTATCAACTCTTAGCTTGTTTATTTCTATTCTTATGCCAAGGTAAAATCGAATTTAATGAGGAGTTTTTTTCCATCCTATTGCATATTACCAGATGTCTTATGTCATAATAAAAATTAAATTTAGTGGAATATCTTTAACTTCACTTTTTGTGTCTCAAAGACGTCTCTGGCCAGCTTATACCTTACTTACTCTAAGACATGATGGGAAGTCAGGCTTACAAGACACACTCGATTTCTTTTTTTCTCCCTTCCAACCTTTAGTCTCTTTTCCATTGCCTCACTCTATAGTTATATTTGCGGAAAGTTTTGATCACAGGATCGGCTGACATAGTCTAATATTTAGTGCATTATGTTTTGCTAATTCATTGTACTTCATAGAATCTTCCATAGATGTCTACCATCCAGGAAGGAGAAGTTTAAGTCTGAGTCGCCAGCTTTCCTCAATGGAAATCAAGTGAAGTCATCATCTTTCAGTTCGCAGATCCTCCTTCCACCTAGTAGCTGGTTCTCTTGGGTAACACTGTGGCTAATACTTTTCTTGGTGCCAATCTTGCATTCTCAGAAACCACAGTTCCCTGTATTGACCTCCTTTTGCTGAAACAGAGATGCACAGCTCTGCTTTCTAGCTCAGTAGATGATTCTTGGAATTACACAGAGTGTCTCACCATCCTTCCCTCAAACATCATCTCTTCCCATCAGGGGGCCTTCTCTGTGCCTTGTAGTAACCTGCCTGGCCCAAGGCGCACCGGGAGTTCGAACCAGGGGCCTTGGTTCTTCCAGGTACCAGCGCAGAGGATCATGGGAAGGCACTTTTGTCCATGGAACCCAGGAAAACTTCTTGGCAGCACGGGTTATTTTCCTGCCACATATGCCCAACCTCCCCTCCTCCCAACCTTACTATCCCCTCAGGAGCCTCTGGCCCTCTTTGTGGTATCCCTAACAGGCCGATAGGCCACACTGGGTTCTAACCGAAGACAGGGTGCCCAAAACAGTGCTATGGCTGATGGAAGGCACTTTTATGCCTGGGAGGCGCAGAACACTCCTCAACAATCATTTTTTTCTTTTCTGCCACAGGAGCCCCATACGCCCTCCTTCTAACACCTCACCTTCCCCAGGGTCTTTTCTGTCTTCTCTGGAGTACCCCTGCAGGGCCGAGGCGTGCCCTGATTTCCAAGTCATGGATACCTGCCACTTTCCCAGAGGCCCGGTGGGGCCTGTTATGAAAGCACTGTCCATGTGGACTCAGAATGCTCTAGCCGGTGTGATTTTGTTTTATTTTTTTTCTGCCCACCAGTGCCAGCTCCCATTCCTCAATGTAACTTCCCCTCCGGTGCCTTCTTATTCTTTGAGGTACCCATAGTGTTACCGAGACACACCGTGGTTTTGAGCTGGTTTGGCCATGGTCCCCGGGGCCCAGTGTAGGGGCTGTCGGGAAGGCAATTCCTTCCTTGGGGGAAAGGAATGCTTCCGATCACCTGTTTTATTTTTGTTGTAATACCACAGGTAACCCAGCTCACAAACACTCACACACTAACTCACACTCACACAATCACACTCACCCATTCATACACACATACATAAGCAGCCTCACACACTCAAACTCACACTCATTCACTCACACTCACACTCACTTTTCCTCACACACACACTCCATGCACACTCCACACTCCTCTCACACCCTTGCTCACAGTCACTCCCATTCTCACTGCAAGCTCACACACTCAATCCCCTCACCTACCTCTCTTTTTCCTCACTCATGCTCACACACCACACGAACACTCAAGTGTACACTCTTACGCTGTCACCTCAGACACTAACATTCAAGGTCACTCCACACACTCCCACTCTCACACAAACTCACACACTTTCATATACACATACACCGCCCTCACACACACTCCATTCCACACATGCACATTCCACACCACACTCACATTCTCACAAACTCAGACTCACAACTCCTCCTCTCACACTTTCCACACTCACCATCACACACACACACTCTGCTCACACATACTCACCCCTCACACCATACACTCAGACACTAACCTCATGATCACTCACGTTCTCTCCACTCACAATTGTGCACACGCACACACACATAACACACTGACTTACAATTAACACCACTTTAATTCACTCACTCATGGTTATTTTCTCCATCAGGAGCTTCACCTTCCTTCCCTCAAACTTTATCTTCCCATCAGGGGCCTTCTCAGTGATTTGTGGTATCCTATCTTTTGAGGAACTTTTACCTGGGGGTCCCGAACCAGGGCCGCCAGGATCTTCGGGAGTACCAGCGCCCAGGGGCTCATGGGATGACACTTATCGTGGAGTCCAGGAACACTTCTTGGCATACGTTTTATTTTTTCTGCCATATGCCCCCACCACCCCTCTCTCCAACCTTACTATCCCCTCAGGAGCCTCCGACCCTCTTTGTGGTGCTCCTAATGGGCCCAGTAAACTGCTAGGTTCAACCAGTGAGCCAGGTGCCCACAGAACTGTGCTGTGTCTGATGGGAAGGCACTTTCGTCCCAGCCAGGAGCCCAGGAATGCTCCTCGCTGGCTCCCATTTTTTTCTTTTCTGCCACCGGCCCCATGTGCCCTCCTTCTAACCTCACCTTCCCCTCAGGTTCTGTCAGTTTTGGAGTACCCCTGCAGGGACAAGGGATGCACCTGATTTCAAACCAGGGATGCCACGGTCAAGGGGACAGTCTGAGGTCTGATGTAGAAGACACTGTTGTCTGTAGGACCCAGAAACGCCTCTAAGTGGTGCGATTTTCTTTTTATTTTTTCAGCCACAAATTGCACCAGCTCCTTCCTCAAAACACTTCCCCTCTGGTGAATTCTTACTTCTTTGGGCACCCATGAGTGTTACAGAGAAAAACCCTGGTTTTAGACCAGTTAGGCCACAGTCCCGGGGCCCAGTGCAGATCTTTTAGGGAAGGCACTTTGCTTCCGTGGGGACAAAGTATTCTCGATGGCCCTTTTTTATTTTTTGTTGTAATACTACAGGTCACCCAGCTCACAAACACAATCACACAAATCACTCACACTCACATTCAGACTCACACAGGCACCCAAACAGTAATACACACCTGCACTCCGCATTCACCCCTCACACTTTCTCATGCTCTCACTCTCACTCTCACACACTCATTTCCACTTTGCACACACTCCATCATGCACATTCACACTCCACACACACCCACGTGCACACTCACACACTCCAAACACTGTGCTCTGATTTTACTCTCTCACATTCTCATTTCTCTCACATTCTCATTCAGAAACTCACACTCACACACATTCAACCACACTCACACTCTCACACTTTCACTCACACCCTTACACTCACCCTGACTCACATGCACAGACTCACACACTCACACTGTCACACTCACAGACACACTTATAGTCGCTCACACACACAGTCACAAACACACACACAAACTCACACACACACTCTCACACTCAAACTCACACTCACAGTTTTCTTTTTCTTCAACAGGTGCCTCACCATCCCTCCCTCAAACTTTATATTCCAATCAGGGGCCTTCTCTGAGATTTATGGTACCCTACCTGGACCGAGATGCACCTTGGGTTCGAACCAGGGATACCAGAATCTTCAGGTAGCAGCGCAGGGGCTCATGGGAAGGCACTTTCTTCCGTGGGGGCAACAAATGCTTCTTGATGGCCCGTTTTCATTTTTTGTTGTAATACCACAGGTAACCCAGCTCTCAAACACTCATTCACTCGCACTCACACAATCACTCACAGTCACTAACACACATTCATACTCACATGCAAGCACCCTCACACAGTCATATACACTCACTCTCATTCACATTCACTCTCATTCACACTCACACTCACACTTTCACTCACACACTCACACTGCCTCACACACACTAACCCACTCACAAACTCATCCACACTCACACACACTTGCTCACACTCACATTCTTACACATTCAAGCCCACTCACACCCACACGCTCACTCTCACCTTCACTCACAATCACCCTCTCACACGCTGACTCACACACTCGAACACTCATACTCTCAAAATCACAGACACACGGTGACTCACACACTCACACTCATTCTCACACAAACGCACTCATTCACTTTCTCTTACACACTTTCCCTCTTGCACACAAACTCACATTCACACACACGCACTCACACTCTCAGTCACTCACATTCTCATGCACAATCTCACATTCTCATGCACAATCTCACATTCTCACACTCAACCCCACTCACACATTCTCACATTTTCACTCACACACTCACGCACACTCACACTCGCACACTCACACTATCACACAGACTAACACGGTCATACTCTCACACACTTACTTTCACACACGTTTACACACTCCCTCACATATACACTCACAAACTCACCCACATGCACACTCACCCACACACTCGCTCACACACAGACTCTCGCTCAAGTCACTCACCTTCTCACTTTCAAATACACACGCACTCAACCCCTCACACCCATACACACACCTTCACTCACACCCTCACACACTCAAAGACACAGTCGCACACCCACTCACACTGTCACACTCATGGACACACGATCACTCACACACACACTCTCTCACTTTCCCTTACACACACACTTACACTCTCCCTCTCACACACAAACTCTCACACTCACATTCACACACTCACACTCTTGCTCACACTCACATTTTTCACTCACACACTCAACACTCACTCAACCCCACTCTCACACACTCATCCTCACCCACTCGTCCACACACACACTAGCACACTCAACACACTTGTAATCACAGACACTAACACGTACTCACAGACACTAACACGGTCACTCACACACACATACACAAACTCACACTCGCAAACACACACTCATTTTCACTTACACTTGTTCTCACACTTTCCCTCATGCTCACACGCACTCACACACACTCATACACACTTGCTCATAGTCACATTCTCACCCACAAATTCACACACTCAAGCGCACTCACTTTCACTCACACCCTCACACACTCACCCTCACATGCACACTCGCACACTCACGCTGTCACACTCACAGACACTAACACTCATGGTCACTCACATTCACTCACACTCACACTCTCACACTCACACACAAACTCACGAACCGGGTTGGCCACTGTACCTGGGGCCCATCGCAGGCACTGACGGAAGGCACTTTCTTCCATGGGTGGCAAGGAATACTTCTCAGCAGCCCTTTTTTTCTTTTTTATTCCACAGGTAACCCACCTATCCACCCTCGAACCTTAACTTCCTCTCAGGGGCTTTGTCCTGCTTTTGGGTACCACTAGCATGTTTGAAACGCAGCCTGTGGTCGACCCAGGGACTCCAGTGTTCCCGGGGCACAGTTCTGGGGGCTGACGGGAAGGCACTTTCATCTGTGGGTGACCCAGAAGAGCTTCTTGGCATTGCAATTATTTCTTTCTGCCACTGGTGCACCACCTCACTTCCCTCACTATTTATCTTCTCCTCAGGGGACATCTGCTCACTTTGGGGTACCCTTCGAGTTCTCAAGAATCTGCTCACTTTGGGATACCCTTCGAGTTCATTGGAACCACAGACTGCAAGGTACCCATGACCCAGCGAAGGGGCTGAAAGGAAGGCATTTTGGTCCGTGGCTACCCATGCCCCACTTCTCAGCTTGGCGTTTTTTTTTCTCCAACAGATGCCTTACCATCCCTCCCTCAAACCTTATGTTCCCATCAGGGCTTTCTCTCTGATTTGTGGTAGCCATACCTGGACAGAGACTCACCCTGAGTTTGAACTAGGGATGCCAAAGTCTCCAGGTACCAGCGCAGGGGCTCATGGGAAGGCACTTCCATACATGGAGACCCAGGAACGCTTCTTGGTGGCATGGTTTTTTTTTTCTGCCTCATGTGTCCCACTTCCCCACACTCCCAACTTACTATCGCCACAGGAGGCTCCTTCCCTCTTTGTGGTACACCTAATGGGCCTGCAAGTCACCCTAAGTTCGAGCCAGGCACCACAGTGTACCCATGGCCCAGCATTGGGTCTGATGGGAAGGCACTCTCGTACCTGGGAAGCCCAGGAACACTCCTTGCTGGCGTGTTTTTCTTTCTTTTTCTGCCACAGAACCCCATATGCCTTCCTTCTAAGCTCACCTTCCCCTCAGGGTCTTTCTGTCCATTTCAGAGTACCCCTGGTGGGCCCGAGATGCACCCTGCTTTTGAACCATGGACGGTAGGCTTCCCAGGGCCCAGTGCACAGACTAAAGGAAGGAACTTTCCTCTGTGGTGGACCCAGGAACCCTTCTCTGTGGCGAGATTCTCTTTCTTTTCTTTCTGCCACTGGTGACCCATCTCTTCTCCCTCACTGTTTACCTTTCCCTCAGGGGAGTTTTACCCACTATGGGGTACCCTTTGTGAACCCAAGATGCACCCTGTATTCGAACCAGGGATGCCAAAGTCCCTGGGAACCAGCACAGGGGCTGATGGGAAGGCAGTTTCTTTCCTGGGGGATGCAAGAACGCTTCTCAACAGTGTGTTTTTGGACTTTTTGCCACACAGCTGAACTGCATAATCTTCCTCAAATCTGACCTTCCCCTCAGGATTCTTCTGTCCCCTTTGGGGTACCTCTACTGGGACCAAGACACACCCTGGGTTTGAACCAGGTATGCCATTGTCCCTGGGGCCTAGCGCAGGGCCTTATTGGAAGGTAATGTTTTCCGTGTAGGACCCAGGAATGCTTCTCAGTGGTGCGTTGTTTTTTTCTTATTTGTTGCCACCAGTGACACAGCTCCCCTCGCTCAAAAGTTGCTATCCCCTCTGGTGCCTTGTGCCTGCTTTGAGGTACCCGAAGTTGGCCCAGAACACACCCTGGGTTCAAACTGGGAAGGCCATGGTCCCCGGGGCCCACCGGAGGCGCTGATGGGAATGCACTTTCTTCCATGCAGTCAATAAACTCTTTTCAGCGGAGGTTTTTTTTTTTTTTTTTTTTATTCCACAGGTCACCTGCCTCCCTGCCCTCAACCTGACCTTCCCCTCAGGGGCCTTCGTCCCTCTTTTGGGTATCAATAGCATGTCTGAAACACTCCCTGCGTCGAATCAGGGTCTCCAGTGTTCTCGGGGCCCAGTGCCGGGGCTGACGGTAAGGCACTTTCATCCGTGGGGGACCCAGGATAGCTTCTCGAGGTCGTGATTACTTTTCTCTACCACTGGTACACCTCCTCACCTCCCTCACTATTTTCCTTTACCTCAGGGGACTTATGCTCGCTTTGGGGTAACCTTCGCATTCCCGCGATTCACCCTACATTTGAACCCGGGTCTGTAGGGTCACCAAGGCCCAGCGAAGGGGCTGATGGGAAGGCATTTGGTCCGTGGCGACCCATGCCCCTATTCTCGAGGTTGCAAATTTTTTTTCTGCAACTGGCGCCTCACCATACCACCCTCCAACCTTATATTCCAAGCAGGGGATCTTCTCTCTGATTCGTGGTACCACTGTCTGGACCGAGACACAGCCTGCGTTCAAACCAGGTATGCCAAGCTCTCCAAGTACCTGTGCAGGGACTCATGGGAAGGCACATTCGACTGTGGAAACCAGGAACGCTTCTTGGCGGCATGTTTTTTTTATTCTTCAACATGTGCCAAACTACCCTCGCTCTAACATTACTACCCTCACTCCAACCCTCTTTGGAGAGAGGGTAGTTGGCACATGTTGCAGAATAAAAAAACGGATGGAGGCTCCCCTCAGGAGCCTCCAGCTCACTTTGTGGTACCCTTAACGGGCCTGAAAGGCACCCTAAGTTTGAACCACGGACCCCAGGGTTCCCTCTGCCCAGCGATGGGGCTGATCAGAAGGCACTTTTGTCCCTCGGGAGCTCAGGGACACTTCCCGTCTGCAAGTTTTATTTTTCTTTTTCTGCCACAAGAGCCCCATATGCCCTCCTAAACTCAATTCCCCTCTGGGTCTCTGTCCGTTTTGGAGTACTCCTCTAGGGCCCATAACACACCCTGATTTTGAACCATGGATGCCAGGGTCCCCAGGGAATGACCCACAGACTGGTGATAAGGCACTTTTACCTGTGGTGGACTCAGGAACGCTTCTCAGTTGCACGATTTTCTTTCTTTTTTTTCTTCCACCAGTGCCTCAACTCCCTTCCCTGACAGTTTACCTTTCCCTCAGGGGCCTTTTGCCCACTTTGGGGTACCCCTAGCGAACCCAAGATGCACCCTGTATTTGAGCCAGGGATGCCAGAGTCCCCGGTTCACAGCATAGGGGCTTATTTAAGGCACTTTCATATATGGGGGACACAGGCCCCGTATCTCAGTAGAGCATTTGTTTTCCTTTCTCTCAGTTGCCTCATCTCCCGGCACCTTACCTTCCACTCAGGGGCCTTCTGCCAGGGTTGTGGTACACCTAGTGTGCATGAGAAACAACCAGGATCTGAACCAGGGACATAAGGGTCAACAGGTAGTGCAGGGGCTGATGGGAAGACACATTCGTCCAGGGATGACCCAGGAACGCTTCTTGGTAGTTTGTTTTTTATCTTTTCTGCCACAGGTGCCCCAACTTCCCTCCCTCAAACCTTAATTTCCCCTCGGGGGCCTAATACCCTCTTTGTTTTACCACTACCGGGTCCAAGACGCACCCTGGTCTGGAAACAGGGAAGCCAGGTCCTTGGGACCAAGCACAGTGGCTGATGGGAAGGCAGTGTCTTTCCTGGGGGATGCAGGAACGCTTCTCGCCAGTGTGTTTTTGGTTTTTTCCCCATGCAGCTGACACACATCCCCTTCCTCAAACCTTACCTTCCCCTCAGGGTTCTTCTGTCCACTTTGGGGTACCACTAGTTTGTCAGAGACTCACCCTGGATTTGAAGCACTTACGTGAGGGTCCCTGGGGCCTAGCACAGGGCCTTATGGGAAGGTAATGTTTTCCGTGTAAGTGTAGGACCAGAACACTTCTCAGTGGTGCATTGTTTCTTATTTGGGTGCCACCACTGCCCGAGCTCCCCATGCTCAAGGTTCGATCCCTATATGGTGCCCCCTTGTGCCTGCTTTGGGAGTACCCCAGAGTCAGCCTGAGGCCGCGCACCACTTCTGCTCGCTTTGTGGTACCCTTCACGTTCCTGTGATTCACCCTACATTTGAACCCGGAGTCCATAAGTCACTGAGGCCCAGCACAGGGGCTGATGGGAAGACATTTTGGTCCATGGTGACCCATGCCCCTATTCTCGAGGTTGCGATTTTTTTTTTTTTCAACTAATTTGCCTCCATACCACATTCAAACCTTATCTTTTCAAGCAGGAGTCTTCTCTCTGATTTGTGGTACCCCTATCTGGACCGAGATGCACCTGGACCGAACCCAAAGGCATCAGCAGAGCTCTCCCAGGTACCAGCCCATGAGGACTCACGGGAAAGCATTCAACCAGAGCAAGAACCTTCCCGACAGCGTGTTTTTTTTTTTTTCTTCCGCAACATGTGCCCAACTCCCCTCTGCAGCCTTACTATTCCTCAGCGGCCTCCCAGCGCACTTTGTGAGTACTCTAAAGGACCTGAAAGGCACCCTGGGTACAAACCAGGGACCCTGGGGTACCCACTGCCCAGCGATGGGGCTGATGTGAGCACTTGTGCCCCTGGAGACTCAGGAACGCCTTCTCTCACCACCGTTTTTGTTTTTTTTTTTTTTTTCCTGCCACAGAGGCCGTATGCCCTCCTAAACTCACCCCCTTCCCGGCCAGGGTCTTTCATCCGTTTTGGAGTACCCTAGTGGGCTGTGAAGCACCTGATTTTGAATCATGGGCCTTAGAGATCCCCATGGGTGGCCCACGGACTGATGGAAGGCACTTTACCGTGGTAGACTCAAGACCCTTCTCAATTTTGCGGATTTTCATTCTTGTTTTTTGCCACTGGTGCCCCACCTCCCTCCTGACAGTTTACCTTTCCCTCAGGGGCCAGCACGCACTGATGGTATGCTCCTTCATGAACCCAAGACACACCTATAATCGAACCCAGGGATGCCAGAATTCCCAGGACACGGTGCAGGGCTGATTGTGAACACTTTCATATGTAGAGACACAGGCTGTACTTCACAGTAGCGTTTTTTCTCTCTCCCTCCCAGTTTGCCTCATCTCCTGCATCTTACCTTCCATTCCAGGGACCTTCTGTCGGGGTTGTGGTACTGAGTGGGCAAGAAGAAACCACCAGGATCTGAACCCCCAGGACATAAGGGTCACCAGGTAGCGCAGGGGCTGATGGAAGAAGGCATTCGTCAGGGGATGACCCAGGAACTCTTCTCGGTAGTGCATTTTTTTGTACTACTTGCCAAAGGTACCCAAACTCCCCTCACTCAAACCTTACTTTCCCATCTGAAGCCTTATGCCATCTTTGTTGTACCAGTGCAGGACTGAGATGCCACCTGGTCTAGAGCAGAAACCAGGGTCCCTGGGGCTGAAGCGCACTTAGCCCCTTCTGGGATGGCATTGTTTCCATGCAGGAGCCAGGCGCTTCTCAGTGGTGCATTGCTTTTTCTTTTTGGTGCCACTAGTTCCCCAGCTCCTCTCTTGAAAGTTATCATGCCCTCAGCCTTTTGCTTGCTTTAGGAGTACCCAAGTCAGCCAAGGCCTTTGAGTTCGAACTGGAAGGCCACGGTACCTGGACCCAGCTTGAGGCGTGACAGAAGGCACTTCCATGGGTATCAGGAACACTTCATTGGCACGTTTTCTTTATTCCACAGGTAACCCACCTCCCGCCCTCAAACCTTACCACTTTTTTTCTCCTCAGGGGCCTTTTCCTGCTTTTGGTACCACTAGTGGAGTCGGAAGGCAGCCTGCGTTGAACCAGTGATTCCAGTGTTCCCGGGGCAGAGGCCAGTCTGATGAGGCTGCCTGATCAAGGGTGGCCAGAATAGGTTCTCAGCCTCGTGATTATTTTCTCTGCCACTGGTACACCTCACCTCCCTCACTGTTACCTTCCCCTCAGGGACTTCTGCTAGCTTTAGGAGTGCACATAGTGTTCGAAGCCACCTTCATTCAAACCAGGGACTGCCTGCAGTACCCGTGGCCCAACACAGGGAGGCTGAGAAGCATTTTTGGTCATGGTGACCCATGCCCATATCCAGCTTTGTGTGTGTGTGTGTGTGTGTGTGTGTTTCTCCAACAGGTGCCTCACCATCCCTCCCTCAAACCTTATCTTCCAATCAGGAGCTTTCTCTCCAATTTGTGTTAGCTGCACCTGGTCCCAGACTCACATAGGTTGAACCAGGGATGCCAGTCTCCAGTCTCAACACAGGAGCTCATGTGAGCACTTCCCATCACGGCCAGAACCCAAGAACTTCTAGGTGGCTCGTTTTTCTTCCTCATGTGCCACTTCCCCACACTCAAACTTACTATCCCCCAGGAGCCTCTTGCCTTCTTTGTGAGTACACCTAACAGGCCTGAAAGACACCTAAGATCAACCCAAGGCACCCCTACCTTGTATCCGTGGTCAACACTGGAGCTGATGGGAAGAATACTCTTACCTGAGGAGCACAAACGCTGCTTTCGCTGTACGTTTTCCCTTCTTTGTCTGCCACAGGAGCCCCAATATGTCTTCCTTCTAACCACACCTTCCCCTTAGGGTCTTTCTGACGTTTTGGAGTAGCCCTAGTATGGCCCCGATATGCACCCTGCTTCGAACCACGGACACCAGGCTTCCCGGGAGCCCAGCATGCCTGGCAAGACTGATTGGGAAGGCACTTTCATCCGTGGTGTACCAAAGAACGCTTCTCTGTGGAGCAATTTTCTTTCTGCCACTGGTGACCCACCTCTCCTCCTCACTGTTACCTTTTCCTCGAGTGACTTTGCCCACTTCCAGGGTTCCCTTAGTGAACCCAAGATGCACCTATGTTGGAGCCAGGGATGCCAGAGTCCGGTTTCACAGCATAGAGGCTGATATAGCACTTTCTAAGTGGGGGATACAATTCCCCTTTTCAGTGGTGCATTTTTTCTCTCTCCCTCAGTTGCCTCTTCTCCCTGCACCCCTTACCTTCCATGCAAGGGCCTTCTGCCAGGGTTGCAGTACATCTAGTAGGCACGAGAAACATACAGGATCCGAACCAGGGACATAATGGTCACCCATGCATGTGTGAGTGGGAGGCTGATGGGAAGGCACATTAGATGATGCAGGATGGCCTTGCGAACACTTCCGTACTGCACTTCTTATCTTTTGCCACAATGTTCCAGCTCCCTCCCCTCAAACCTGACTTTCCCCTCAGGGGCCTTGCCTCCCTTTTCTTTGTTGTACCACTGTCGGGCCCAGAACTGGCCTGGTCTGGAAACAGGGACCAGGTCCTGGGACCCAGCACAGGGGCTGATGTGAGGCAGTTTCTTCCCTGGGGACGCAGAACACTTCCTCATCAGTGTGTTTTGGTTATTTTCCACGTAAGACCACATCCCGGCCCTCCAGAGCCTGCCCACCATCTCCTCAGGGTTTTCTGTCCTCTTTGGGAATTTACCACTGAGTAGGCCCCGAGGCAGCACCTTGAGTTTGAACCAGTTACACCAGGGTCCTGGGTCCTAAGCGCGAAGCGTTATGGGAAGGTAAAGTTTTCGTGTAGGACCCAGGAGCGCTTCTCAGGCGGTATGTTGTTTTCTCTTATTTGGTGTGCCACCACTGCCAGCTCCGCTTGCTCAAATGTTACGTCCCTCCTGGTGTCTTGTGCCTGCTTTGGGTGCTCAAGTCTGCCCGACATACCTGGGGTTCAAACTGAAGGCCCGGTAGCAGGGGCTCCCACCAAGCGCTGTGAGAAGGCACTTCCTTCTGTGGGGAAAATACTCTTTTCAGCGGAGTTTTTATTATTATTATTATTCCACGGGTAACCCACCCACCCCGCCCTCAACCTGAACCCTTTAGGGGCCTTTTGTCATCTTTTGGGTATCAATGGCATGTCCCAAATGCTCACCATTCAAACTAGGGTCTCCAGTGTTTCCCAGGGCCCAGCACCGGGGATAGCAGAGCACTTTAGTTAGGCTAGAGGACCCAGGATAGCTACTCGGTCGCGATTATTTCTCTTCCGCTGATGCACCACCTCCCTCCCTCACTATTTCCTTCCCCTCAGGAGACTCCTGTTCGCTAGAGGTACCCTTTGCGTTCCGGTGATTCACCTCATCTGAGCTTCAGTCAGTAAGGTCACCGTGGCCAAGCGCAGGGCTGATGGGAAGCACTTTGGTCCGTGGCGACCCATGCCCCTATTCTCGGAGTGCCAATTTTCTTTCTCAAACTGGCGCCTCACCATGCCTCCCTCAAGCCTTATCTTGAAATGAGGATCTTCTCTCCGATTTGTGGCACCCCTATCTGGACAGAGATACCTGACACGAGCCAGGTATGCCCACCAGCTCTCAAGTTACCAGCGCAGGGGCTCCTTGGGAAGGCAGATTTTGTCCATGGGGGACCCAGGAGGCGCTGCTTCGCTGGAGTGTTTTTGGTTTTTTTCTGACACTGGTGTCCCACATTCTCTCACAGAAGAGAGCTTACCTTCCTCAAGGGTCTTCTGTCCGCTTTGGGGTAACACTAGTGGGACAGGGCGCGCCTGGAGTTTAGTAGGGACACAGGGTCCCTGAGTCTAGCGCAAGACTTCCCTGTAGGAAGGCTTTGCTGTTTCCTTGTGGGATCCCGGAATGCTTCTCAGTGTTGCGTTGTTTTTTTCTTATTAAGGAGTGCACCAGTGCAGTCTCCCTCCCTCAAAAGTTACCATCCCCTCAAGTACCATCTGCCTGCTTTGGATACAAGTCATCCCGAGACACACCCCTGAGTTCAAACTGGGAAGGCCACTGTCCATTTATTTCATCAATCTCTAGCTGAAATTGCCACTTCCTCCAATTAGGAGTGTAAGCAACACACGGCAGAGTTTGTTGTGACTTTATGCACCAGGAGAAACCACCATGTCTTCAC